CTGGAGGAGGACTTGAAGCTGAGCAGCTGGTTCAAGTACCTGCCGGAGTCTGTGGTGGAATTCCAGCCGGCCCTGCGGACCCTGGCACACCCCATCAGCCAGGAGCACCTCAGGGAGACCCTGCAGCAGTGGATCAGCATGTGAGTGGCACGGGGGCCCCCTTTGCAGGGCTCTCCTGGACTCTGTGTGACCCCTGGGCAGCACAGAGCAACCCCAGATTCCCTGACCACCTCATCCCTCATCCTCAGTTAGACAGGCTGGAATACTGGGACACAACAGCCCAGCTGGGCTGTACAGACTTCTCTGTACACACTCCCACAACCACCAGCAAACAAGCACAGAGTAAATGGCAAGAAGATGCCTTACCTGGCTCATTTAGCCCTTGACCCAACACTTTCTTTCTCCTCCTTCCTGGGACTGTGTGGGGGAAGCCAGAGCCCCTTTATGTAGTTGCCAGCTCCGCCCTATCCCAGCAGGCCGTTTCCTGCCTCCCCTTCACATCCTTGTCCCATTATTTGATGGAGCCACCTGGTCTCTGTGAGCTGCCTCCCCGTTCCTGGAGCACTGTGCTCCCAGCCCAGCGGTGAAATGTTGCCTTCAGGTGCAGTGATGACATCAGGGCCGGGGTCAGCAGCCTGCTGGTGTACGTGAGGAGCATGAAGGGGCTGGCAGGGATCCGAGATGCCGTGTGGGAGCTGCTCTCCAGCGAGTCGGGCAGCCACAGCTGGGAGGCCGTGTGCCGGCGGCTCCTGGACAGGCCCGTGTCCCTCTGGGAGGACCTGCTGCAGCAGCTCTTCCTGGACAGGCTGCAGGTGGGTGCTGAGCTGTGGGAAGCCTTGACCTGTGCCCCCCCCCTTGTCCCAGCCAGCCCACACTGGTGCCTGTTAGCAGTGCTCAGGGCATGTTTAAGTGGCACATTTAAAGGTGCTTTTCCCCCTCCTGGTTCTGTTCCAGACTCTGACCAAAGAAGGGTTCGACTCCATCTCCAGCAGCTCCAAGCAGCTGCTCGCTTTAGCCTTGCAGGAACTGGAAGTCAAACCGGGCAGCTCTGCCCTGAGCAAGCAGATCCAGCTGGAGCACAACGTGGCGCTGTTCCTGTGGTCGGAGGGCCCCGGGGACCTGCCGGCGGACGCGGCGTGGGTGAGCGTGGGGCAGCGCGGGCCCTTCACCCGCAGCGGGCTGGCCATGAAGGCGCAGGCGCTCACGCCGTGCGTGCAGAGCTTCTGCTCGGCCCTGGACTCCAAGCTGAAGGCCAGGTTGGATGACCTCCTGTCCTACCTCCCCGCGGAGCCCTCGGTGCCCAAGGAGCCGGCGGTGCAGCCGCGCTCCGCCTTCGACCGCTTCGCCGACGCCGGCACCGTGCGGGGGCTGCTGCGCGACCAGTGCATCGCCTGCGTCCAGCACGTGCTGGGCTGCGTCAGGGAGGAGCTCCAGAGTGCCCAGGGCCTGCTGGGGGGCCAGCTGGGCCCCCCTGGCGATGCCCGGCTCAACGCCGTCTTGTTCATGGCCAGGCTGTGCCAGTCCCTGCCCGAGCTGTGCCCTCACCTGCAGCGCTGTGTGCTGGGCCAGGAGGGCAGCACGGACACGGCGCCCAAGGAAACGCGCTCCAACAAGAAGCTGGGGAAGGGGAAGGCCCAGGAAGTGACCCCCGAGCAGGCCAAGTGGCAGGGCCTGAAGGCAGAGCTCCTGCAGCAGAGCCTGTTGGCTTATCAGATCTGGAGCTCGGCTGTCACCAAAGTAAGGAGCTGTGTCCCTCCTCAGAGCTGATTCTGGTGTGGGGTTCCCTCCCTGGGGTTGGCCCTGGCTGCCAAGAGCTCGCCAGGCTGCTGGGAGAGGAGGGGGTGGCAGCTCGGAGGGGACTCCAGTGGGATGGTCTCCATGGGTTGCTTTGGGAGGTGTGGGGGTTGCAGGCAGGACAGGTTGTCTTGGTCCTGTTAGAGCTGTCTGTCCTCTCACTGGGGCTTTTGGGTTTGTGCTCCAGAGTCTGGTTCAGTGCTTCACCCACACGCTGCTGCTGGACACGGCTGGTTCTGTCCTGGCCACAGCCACCAACTGGGACGAAATTGAAATCCAGGAGGAAACGGAGTCTGGGAGCAGCGTAACGTCAAAGATCCGGCTGCCCGTGCAGGTACGAGGAACAGGCTGGGGGGGAGGAGAGCACTGGGTTCCACCCCACGTGCTGCCCTGCTGGGGAGCTGTTTGGTGTCATGAGCAGAGGACAAACACTCTCTGGTGCTCTTTGAGATACTCACTTTGTAAGCACAGAGGTCACAGGAAGGAAATAGATCCTTGCTGCTGTTTATTCCAGTGAAGAAGACTGGCCCAGATCCTGTAAAACTGAGCCAGAGAAGGACTTAGGTCTGGTTTAAACACAGAGGTCCCAGGAGAGAGATTTCACGGAAATTGCATGCCCTGAAGGACAGGGCTGCAGCAGTGGGATGGTGAAATCCTAAGGGAACCAAGTGTGTGGTTTTCCTTAGGTGTGGAGGTGGTGCAGGAAGGACCTGGTACAAAACAGGTGGCAGTCGGGAGGGGGAAGAGGGCCAGGCCAGGAGTGAGTTCTGTGTTTGCACAGCACAGGAGGGGCTGGGCAGAGCAATAGTCTTCTGTAGTGAACCTTATCCAGTGAATTGTATTGATTCTGAGGGAAAAAGCAGCAGGATGAGAGCTTGGGATAGAGGAGAAGAGCGAGGGAGAAACAACCCTGAGGAGCAGGTGTTCAGAGCAGGGTCAGTGGTGACAGGACAGGCACAAGAAGCAATTCTGTTCTCACCACACCCAAGTCCCACTTCTGGTGGGACTCTGAGGGCTGCTGGAATCCAAAATAAAGGGTGTCAGTAAATCAAACCCCAGGAGATGCCTGAGCTGTGGGGACAAAGCTTCATGGCTGCTGAGGAAGCAGGAAGCTCCCACCACCCAACTGAAGGGATGTGGTGCTGCTAAAGCAGAGCTCCCAGACCTTGTGGAAGTAAACACTGTTCTCTTCCACAGCCTTCCTGGCACGTCCAGTGCCTCCTGTTCAGCCTGTGCCAGGAGGTGAACCGGGTGGGTGGCCACACTCTTCCCAAGGTGACCCTGCAGGAGCTGCTGAGGACCTGCATGGCAGAGGTGCTCGCTGCCTACCAAAAGCTCATGGAACAGAAGCAGGAGAAGGTTCGTGGGTGGGATCTGCAGGGGGTGTGGGATGGCAGCGTGGCTGGGAATGCAGGGATGCACATGCTCCTGTCCCTTGGAACAGAAAGTGTCTGTCCATGAGAGCTGGAAAGGAGACACTCTTAAACACTCACCCAAAGCTGAGGCAGCAGGGGATCAGACACATTTCATGCTCACAACGGCTCGGTTCGGTTGGTTGTGTCTTGGGGCTGGTGTTTTCAAATGTTCCCCTTGGACAGCCCTCTCTGTGCCAGGGAAGAGCCCCATTGCTGCCTGTCCTGTTTCAGAAGGTGGACACCTTCCCCCTGACCCAGACCAGAGCTCTGCAGTTGCTCTACGACCTGCGGTACCTCAGCATCATCCTGACGGCCAAGGGCGAGGAGGGGAAACCCAGCAGGATCAAGCAGGACTCTGGGTGAGGTGCAGTTCTGGGGTTCAGATCCTTCAGCAGAAGGTTGTGGGGCCCTACAACAGTCACAGGAATTGGGCAGTGCAGGCTCCAAGCTCTGACACTGCACCCTGCTCTGACACTAAGCTCACCCTTAAAATAGGGGAGGGGTGGGACTCTGTGGCCAGGGCCTGAGGCAGCAGGTTGGTCCCCTCTCCTTGTGTACCCAGTGTCCATGGGACACCAGGGATACCCTCAGAGGATACCCTGCAGAGAACCATTAAGCTTCCACCCGGGAGTTAAAGCCTTGTGTGCGCTCCAGTCTGAGGCATCTTTCAGAGGAACAGGGAGAAGGTTCCTCTGCCACAGTAGCTGCTGTGGGTTGTGTAAGAGCTGCAAACCCTTCAGGCAGCTGCTGTTCCGCTGAGCAATTCCTGTTCTGCTCAGTCACCTCAGAGAGGAAATCCTGGCTTCAGGATTTCAGAGGTGGCAGCAGCAGCTGTCAGCAGGATGTCACCCCTGACAGGACCCCTCTGCTCTGCTTGCAGGATTGAGAAGGTGATCGACTTCCTGGAGGGACACATCGATCCCTTCGACTTGGACGTTTTCACTCCACACCTGAACAGCAACTTGAACCGCCTGGTCCAGAGAACCTCCGTAAGGAAAAGGGCTGCAAAATGCCTTTAGAAGGGCAGCTGGGGTGGCTTTAAACTGCTTAATGCCTAAAGATAACCACTGGCACTTCCTTAGAAATGGGAAGAGTATTTAATGCCAGCTGAAGATAAGAGGAGCTGGCTGAGCCGGCTGTGCCGCGTCACCGTGCGTGGAGTTGGCTCAACTTTATCTAACAGGATTCACTGGAGCCTGTGCAACACTAAGTGGCTTAAGTAGTGCTGAAACAGGCCTGGAACTCAACTGTGGGAATAATTAAAAGCAAGAGTTAGAGGGGGAAGGGAGACACTTCATGTTCGAACTTAATGCCAGTGGACTCACCATGTTCTGTGTGATCAGCTCTGCAGGGCCCCCAAATTCAGACAGCTCCTCGTGCCTTTCAGGTTCTCTTCCCCAAATACAAACAGCTCCTTCCTGCCTTCCAGGTTCTCTTTGGCTTGCTGACGGGGACAGAGAACCAGTACACAAGCCGGAGCGGGGCACTGAGCTCCCAGGAGCTGCACAACATCCTGCCCTTGGCATCCAGCCAGATCAGGTGAGGCACTCGGCTCCCCCGGGCATCCTCCTGTCTCTGGGGAAGCAGGTCTGGAATTGCTGCTTCCCGTATCTCTTCCTTCCATCTCAAGGTTTGGACTCCTGCCGCTGAGTATGTCGAGCTCACGGAAGAGCAAGTCCACTGCCAGGAGCACAGAGCGAGTCCAGGTTGGTACAACTGGGCCCTACAAATAGGAATATTTTGCCAATATGACACTCGAGCTTGTGGGGAAAGAAGAAAGTAGCCAAACAGTTAATATTTCACCTGATTTTTATTTTCGGTAAAATGAGAGTCATTATGGCAACACAGCAGGAGATGGGTTGGATTTTCCCACGACCCTCAAAAAAAAAAACCCTTTGCCCCTGTATTTTTGGGCCACTGCTCTGTGGCAAAACAGGCAATAAGCACCCTGAAACACAGTGAGGATTTACACAGCCCAGGCATCTCGAGGGCAATGCATCCAAGACAGTTCATTGAGGAGGGGCTACAAGAAAGGCTGAAGGACAGTGGCTAATGACTGAACTCCTTTGCAGTGGGACGCTGCCCTCTAACCCCGAGGAGCCTGGCCTGGTACCTCAGCCTGTGTGAGGAGTGTGTGCTGCTCTCGCAGAGGCTCCGCTCTGTCCTGTGGCTGAGCTGTAGCAGACAAGCCTTGTGTTGCTACATTTCCCCCAGTTTAAAACATCTGCTTAGATGGAGCTCTGTGTGCTGAGTGAGAGCCAAGGAATACTCACTGCAGTGGGAAGCAGGGATTTCCTTAAGTTATTACCAACCCAGTAATCCATCTGTGGTGACGTCTTGGCAAGTGGGCCAAGTTGGTGAGCCTTGACAAGAGTCAGGACAAGAGTTAAAGGTCTGGTTTTATCACATGAGATGATGTCCAATTCACTCTGCAACTCTCCTTTCTCCCTTACTCAGAACCATTCAGGACCAGACACGACATAAGGGTTGTTTAAAAGCCCAAAGCTTCCCAATAAAGGTATTCCTTACCTCTCGTACCTCAGCTGGAGTGGAGCATAGAAGCGTGCAGTGATGTGTGGCTCGCTCCTGTCACTCCCTTCACCTGTATCCTGTGCCAGCCACCCTTCCCAGAATCCCTGACAGCTGCCTGCTCCTTCTTCAATGCTAAATCACTCCTGGAGAGGTTAAAATCCATAGTTCTCCACGACGAGCTCTCTGCAAGGGCAACAGCCGTGCTGCTACCACGCTGTTATCCTTTGCTCTGAGGGCAACAGCCTCTTCCCTGCAGCTCAGAGTGTTGATGTGGGGTTTGTTGAGCACTGAGTGCCATCTGCCAAGTTCCTTGGCTGCTAACAACAGCCAGGTGCTGCTGTGCTGCTGTCCCTGTGTCTGTCTGTCTGTCACTAACCCCCAGCAGCAACACCGCACCGGTCGTGGGTCGGGTTGCCTGGGAAGAGCTGTTCTTGCTGTGGGCTACACCTTGCAGCTCCTGTGGCTGAGGGTATGGAGCAAGTCACAGGTTTGCTGTAACAGTTATAGTGACTTCTGTGTTTAAAACCTGCCAGGTTGCAGCTCCTGTGCTCCCCAGAGAAGACGAGGCCTCCCGCCCGGGCTCCCTGTTCAGGCAGCTTGTCACCGAGGACGAGGACACGGCGGCGCCTTCGCTCTTCAAGCTGGGCTGGCTCTCGGGCATGACCAAGTGAGGCAGCAGCAAATAAAACGTTGGGCTGTGTGTCTGTCTCCTCTGAGATCCGTCTGTCCCCTGGGCAGGACCGGTGACACCTCCAGGATTGTCAGTGCTTCCCATTCTCAGCCGGATCAGGGTGTGTCACGCGAACCGGGCTCAGCTCGGGATTGTCCTTGTCCCCTGGCTGCTGGAGCAGAGGGGGAGCTGCTCTTTCACCTCCTGTTCTTTACATTGTTAACCTTAAAGTCAAATTAAAGAAAAAAAAATCCCCAAACAACCTACACACTAACAGAAAACAAAACATTTCACAGCTAGAAACGGGTGCTGGAGCAGGGCAAGACTCCTCTGTCCTGCTCTGAGTGGCCCCAGCAGGACCTGCACAAGCTCTCCTGGGTCTAATTTCACATTCTCTTGTGAGGCTCATGTGAGATAGGACTCCTCACACTGAGCTGGGTGGGAGCTCACAGCTGCCCAGGCCTAAGGACCTGCAGTCACTGCTCCTATTCTTAACTGCTCCTACTAACTCTAAATGCTCAAAAAATTATGTTGCCAAATCATTTTTTAACTAGTTTATTGAAATTAAAAAAAGACTTATAAAACTGAAGAGGAACGCTTAAGAGAACTTTACAGAAAGCAACAACTTGCTAACAAACAGATTAGGCAGTCGATTGGAATTGGACAGTTTGCAATCCTATAACACACATGTGGACTCCTCAGTCTCCTCTTGCCACGCACTTTAGAACCACCCCAAAAAGAATCCTATAAAAATTGCTTCAAAGCCCCTTTTGCATTGCAATAGTGCAGCAAACCACAAGTAAACAATCTCCTGTTAACCTGTTATTTCAAATATAGACTGAAAAGGCAACAGGCAATTTTGTGCAATTCCATGTTAACAAACTTTGAAGTTGAAATATCAAATCTACACAGTGCTGTCCCTTCACAGAAGGCAGGGAGCTGCTGGGTCATCATGTAGGGAGGCGTCCCCGGCTCTGTAGGCTGTGGAAGTGGGCTTCCTTCAGGATCTGGTTGATGTGGAAGTAAGGACCTTGGCTTAGTGCAGACTGCTCGTGGAAGGGCTGGGAGGAGACGGGGCTGGATCCCGCAATGCTGGGGTTGAGGCTGGACTCTGCACCACACGCTCTGTCGGGGCTGTTGATGCTGCTGCTGCAGCTGCTGCTGCTGCTGCTGCCGCTGTCGCTGCTGGAGGACTGGGACACACAGAGGGTGAACAGCAACATCAGACACTCCTCTCCTGCCCTCGCCCCTTTATGCCAACCCCCTCCCCTCCGGCTTGGCAGCCCCATGGACTGAAGTCAATCCCCCTGGCATTACCAGGTTGTTGTTGCCAACACAAGCGTCCCAGAGCTGAGGGGACAATCCTTCACCCGGGGTTCGCTGACCTCCAGGATGTTGGATTTCAGTCTTTCTGGTTTAAACCCATCAGCTCTGCCCCCGAACCCACATTAGCACTAGTGAAGTTTGCTGGATTAATCCGAGAATTGGAAAATAAAGAACATTCCTAGGGAGCTGCACGTGTCAGTACAGGCAGGCAGGGCAGGGGGGAGTTGGAGTTTGGCACTGCTGTTGTAGCAGAGGCTTTACGGGAGCATCATGCAAAGCCTTTTCCTACAAGACAACCCTTCTAAAGTGAGATCTGGAGCATCCAAAGCAAGAAGCTGTTAAAAACAAATGCACCATGACACCCATTTTAAGTCTTTGAACATCTTGACAGAGATACAACTGCTCTTCTCCCAGCAGAGTACTGGGATGGCAGTGTGAACTGGTAGTGTCCCATAACAATTCCATGACAATTCACTGGACGTGACAGTAAAAGAGCAAAAGCCACTGAAAAATTCCACATGCAGCAGAGAGAACTCAGGATATGGCTCCCAGAGAGGCCAAGGCTCATTTGCCAGCATTCAGGATAACCACGTTTCATGGGAATGGCTGGAAGAGCATCAGCCATCATTCTCAGGCATTCAAAGACATCAAACTGTTCAGCTCACAGCATTTTAAGGGCTGCTAAGGAAAGGTTCCAGCAGCTGAAATACTTTAGTACTGTGTGATGTGCTGGTCAGGACCTGCAAATATTTGGGTGAGTCAATTAGTGAGTGGCTACTCTGCCATCCCATAAGTAAATTCACACAAGCATCCAGAGCAAGTGAGAGCAGCAAAAAACTCCACGTTTTTGTAAGTATTGAGCCACAGAAGTCAAAGCTTTGTGCCACAGCAGAGGAGGACGAATGTCAAGAAGTCCCCAGTGATTTTGCAGTCAGCACCACATCCAGAAGGAGGCAATCTGAGGAATGGTGCAAACTGCACCTGACGTGTGTCCAAGGCCCAGGAAGGCACTGTGGATGTTTGGGGTGGACCACAACCCCTGGCACTGACCCACCATGACCATCCAGCCCTACCAGAGCCCCCTGTTTTGCTAAGCACCAAAAACGCTTCAGCTCTGATGGAGCACAGCAAGCCAAGCCAGGGGCCCCGAGGAGAAACACCCAGGGGGAGTCATTCCCGAGGAAGCACAGATGGAACTACGGGAGCAACCAGCTCCTCCTCCTAAAGCTGCTAAGTCTAGAGAGGGAGAGAGCCCTGGCAGGACAGCAGGAGCCAGGAAAGGCACTGGCCACCCTCTTGCCCAGCAGCACAGAGGGACACGCGATGCTGTTACGCCGAGTGAGCCACAGCAGCCTTGGAGAGAAACCCACCGCACAGGACACTTTGTTTCCTTTTAGTCTGCGCTCCTTACTGAGTTTCGTTACAGCCACCTTCTGCAAATCAAGGTAAAAAGCCAAATGAGAACCTGGCGTCACCCACTGCTCCCGTTTCACACCCCAACAAAGGATTTCCAGCGGTTAGCAACCGTTACTTTGGGCATATCCGGGTTTTTCACAGCTGGCAGAGTGTCCTGGGACGTGCTTCTTGCACCTAAGGCTGTTGACAGATGTCAGGGCTTGTCAGACCCTCTTTATTTCCAGTTCTCTAATGCAAAAGTTCACTAGCACCAGCACCCCTTCATCACTGCCCCAATCCCATCGAAGACCTACCATTTCCCCAGGCTGTGGTGCACTTTCTGTTACGCATTTGGACTACAATTAGACAAGAAAAGAATCCTTGAAGTCATCACGTCAGCAACGACAGGCATCTACACAGTGCAACAAAGCTTTAAAAGGGCAGAGGGGAGCAACCCACTGAAATTTGGGACTACTTTAACTACCAAAAGGGCATCTTCAAGGTTCACTGGACTCATTAACCCTTAACATCGCTCAGAGTAGCTACACAAGTTTCATTTCCCAACAGATGTGCTGTTAAATGTATCAATGTGCAGATCTGTGAGGCAGCATCTCAGTCCCTCCCTCCTGACAGGAACTGCAGGAACAGCCACTCAGCCCCTGCTGCTCTCGGACTCCCCCAAGATGAGTTTAACAGAGACATGGTCTGGTTTTCACTTAGGATTTTAGACCAGCCCTTCCTCAACAGAGGGGGACACGATTTGATTTGAGCAGGAACTGCTGCCATGGGCTGATAACCCAGCCGTGTTTCCAAGAGCTGGGGAATCCTCACATCGGCCAGGACAAAGAGGAACCACGAGAAATTCAGGTTTTCAGAAGTTATTCAGGAAGGAAGGAGTTAGCCAGAACACCCTGACCCGCTTCCTTCCCAGGGAAAATCAGGGCAAAGGGTTTTTCACTGGTGATTCCTCAGGTTCTTCAACTCCTCCTGACTCGCTGTAGGGGCCAGCAATGAATTTCTAACCAGAGAGAGGGAAAACAGCCCAGCTGATCTCCTGGACAAGGGAGGACAGGCTGAACAGGAAGGGAGATTGCGTGGCAAAGGCTCTGCCTCGCTAATGTTTAACGTTGGCCGAGGTTCCAGTGCAGTGTTTGCCCTGTGCCAGTCCCTGCACTGAACTCCAGAGGCTTCCTGTCCCCCCAGGGAGCCTGTCACCTGGGAGTGGCTTCTTCAGGAGAGGCAGGAATGGCACATCCTTACACAGCAATTTGCCAAGAAGCAGCACTGATAGAGATTGAAGAGAATCCCAGTTTCCCTCCTGTAAAAGTCAGTCAGGGGTGCTGCCTGTCCTGGGTGAAAGGACAATCCAGTGGGAGAAAACAGCAAATCCTTTGGAATCAGCTCTAGCTCAGGTGAGCAGCGGGATTCAAAGTGAGGGGCTGAGGGATAACATCACAATCAGCCCATGCTGGAACTGCCACTAAGGAAAAAACCTCCCTTCATCTCACTCTTCAGACCAACATGTGTAAGACAAAAAAAACGGGAAGAGATCCTGCCAAAAGCCAAGTCCTGTTTAAAAACACAGCTGCCTGATTGTCACACTGGGGTGATGTTCCCAACTAACCTCACTCTGCAAGAGGAAACATTCCCTTAAGAGTTGGACTCAATCATCCTTGTGGGTCCCTTCCAACTCAGAATATCCTGTGACTCCGTAACTTCCAAATAAAAAAGGCCACAGGAATCAGGACTTGAGGTGATGTTTCACAAAAAGCAGGGGTGTGACGCCCTGCGATGGAAAGCGACTCTCAATGTGCTCTTAGAAGTCACAAATTTCTCCCCCCCACACTTTCCAGTTCAATATCCTAGAGCCAGAGAGAATTTTTAATCATCAAGAGGTGTCTTTGCAAACAGCAAAGTACCAGGAAACTAAATAAGAGTGCTACAACTGGCTGAGACTTTCCAAGCGACACCAATCGGAAGCACTTGTGCACAATGAGCACGAGGATTTCTCCCTTTGGCACAGGAAGTCCTTCACAAACATTCAAATAATACTGATTTAATCTCGTGGCTTGAATTTCTGGGCATGCTCAGTTCTGTGATCCAGCAAGAAAACAAGGGGGGGGAAAAAAAAAAAAGAGAAAAAGCTCTATTCATCAGGAGACAACATTGTGAGTTCTGTCCCCTGGGGAGAGGGGCCGGTGCTGTTTGGAAAGCTGTGTGTGTCCAGTGGGCACATTCCTCAGCAGTGAGAGCTTCCCCTGCCTCACACCAGGCTTTAATGTGTTAAACCCAGGCTTTTTCAAGGCAAGAGCATGCAAGAAGCACAGCCTCTGTTAGCCTGAGCAGTGACCTTGCCCAGGGTCAGCCATGCCCGTGCTGTTCCCTTCCAGCACCCAAACACCCAGCACAGGGTTAAGGTCACCCCTCCCCTGTGGCCACAAAACCACTGCCAGTCCTGCTTTCCGTGGCTCTGCCCAAACACCAGGTGTTTACACGACAAGCAAAGGTGCTTCTGCCACTCACCATCCAGGTTTTTCCTGATATCCTTAATTTCATTACTCCCACTTCAATCCCTCGTTCCACACTAAATTCTTCCTCCTCCCGCCACAAAGCTGCTTTAGCCTTTAACTACTCTACACACACGGAGGGGTTTGACCTGTTGGACAAGTGATTCGGTGTCAGATGGCAACAAACTAGCGACGGTTCTCCCCTCACACCCAAAAATGCAAAGTCTCACTCCTGGAAAAACAGCAACACACGAACCAGGACAGTTTCAACCCCAGACAATTCCCCCGTGAGGAACATCACCTCTTAAACCACTTCCCAGCAGTGTCACTATCACACCAGCTACTTGTACAGGTGACCAGGTTAAAAGAGCCTCCCTCGCAACAGGAATGTATAAATACACATTTGAAACCATTTCCATATTATAAAAGAGCTCAAAGTTACACAGCACTAAATATTTTCTGCAAAGAACAGTTAATAGTTCAACAGAACTGCAATAATTCAGTTAATTCAGTAATAACTCAGACTGTAATTACTCATCACAGTCCCCCTTCAAAGTGGGAAGGCTTTACAAAAACAAGGGTATTTCAAAAACCTTAAAAGAAATTAATTTCATTAACTCCCAGGGGCACAGACCAGGAGGGAGCCTCTGCTCTGCACCCTCTTTTCCATGAGTGTTTTGCAACAGAAGGACATTGCTTAGCAGAAATGCTCACAGTGAATTTTCAGGTGATTCATACGGGCAACAACTCAGGAAACCTGGCAGCAGTTGGGAAATCAGCATTTTTTTAAAGCAAACAAACCTCACAGCTCACAACTTGCACCAAGAGAACACCTGTCTGGTGAGGGGTAAGAAAACAAGAGACAGTTTATCCCATGTCCACCAAAAAAACCCCCATGGAAAATATGAGTAAAAACCAAATTGTTTGAGTACAAACATCTTGGCTGTGAACAAGCAAGTTTTGCTTAAACTGACCAGTTCTAGCAGAGTGTTTTTTAAACACCAGATAAGCACTGGCTGGATTTTTTTTTTATACTTTCTACCACAAATAATCACCTAAATATAAGTAAATGCAAAGTTGGAGAGTAGGTCGGGCAAAATGACCACACACACACTTGTGATCCACCCTCATCATCAGCTCAGCTCTGGACACAACTCATCTCACCCAGCAAAACTGGACGTGGCAGCAAATTATTTCCTCGTGTCTTCACTTGCATTTGAATATTTGAATATTTGAAATATTCAGGCCAGGGATAACCAGGTTCACTGGAAACATGCTGATTTCCCAACCACCTTTCACAGATTCCAATCCCTGATGTCACAAAGTCAAACCTCCCGACCTCACACACAAAGCTGAGGAAAAAAAAAGGGTTTTCATAACTGCTCTCCATGAAAATATTCACAGGATATTCAGCAAGAAAGGAAACTGCATTTGCCTGGGAAGGCTCTCACCTCAGTGTCCCACGAGTCCTGCAGGACAGAATTCCTGGTGCTACGTTTTGTCTGGGGAACGTGACCATCCTCTTCATTGCCATTCCTTCTCCTCTTCCTGAAGGAAAATTCAGGGAGAATGGGAGAAAACAAATTATCAGCCTACTGATATACCTTCTGGTTTGTTCTCTGAAGGCACCTCTACCGAAAAAAAAGGAAAGTCTGGTAAATTCCTGGAGGATGTATCCAAGCCCTTGAGGTGCTGTGGACTCCCACATTGTCCTTTTAGCTGCTGTTGGAGGGGAGAGACAAAAGGATCCTGTTTCTCACAAGAAATCAGTTTAAGGGACATGGACTCACATTAAAACCATCTTTTTAAATAAACTCATTGAACAATTCTCAGCCTTGCACATCTAAAAATAATCCTGGGCCCTGGAGTGACACCCGGGAACAGGATGAGTGGCAGTGACCACACTTCAATAAACACCCGATTAATTCACCCTGCTCACATGAGCCTGCACTCAGCACCCACGATTTCTTGAGTCTCTCCACCCTGGCAGCTTTTGAAGCTAAGTCATGTTCCTGAGCAACATTATTTTCCGTGCAAAAATTAAGTTTTGTCAGGAAACACCCCGCAGAAAACAAACCCTTCCCTGTTTCTGGTGTATCTGCCACCCTCCCATGGCAGCCTGTACTGTCTGGCCTGATAAGTAAGAGTTTTAACACACCAACAACCTAATTTTTATCCAGATCTTTGCAGGCATCAATGCAAAGAGGGGTTTGAAGGAGGGTAATGGGATGGGGGTGGTGCTGATATTCCTATATTAGAGACAACACAGGGAAGACCTCAAAGGCCAGGCTGGACGGGGCTTGGAGCAACCTGGGCTAGTGGAAGGTGTCCCTGCCCATGGCAGGGGGTGGGACCGGATGGGCTTTAAGGTCCCTCCCAACCCAGACCATTCCATGGTTCTGTGACATCAACCCAGCAGCTGATCCACGGCATCATCCCAGAATTCCCGTCCCCTGAGCCCACAGAATTTCAATGCTGACATCAAAGGCTTCTTCCCACTGTACAAACATGACAAGTCACCCAGGATCTCAGCACCATCCAAAGCACAGGATGGAGCTCTGCTGGTGCCTAAAATTAATCTGTGCTCGAATGAGTCAAAACAGGCTCGGGGGAGGTATTTTTAGCCGGATCTTTTCTCACAGACAGCACACTCAGCTGCGGGATCTGGCCCACGCCCACAGCTCCCCCACCCCCGGGGCCACAGACACCAAACCCTATCCAGCGGCTCCCCCCTCTCCCGGCACCACTTTCCGTGGAAGGGACACGTCTGTGTTGCCTCTGGATCCCTCCTTCCCTCAACCCCTCCAGGCCAGGTTGGACAGGGCTTGGAGCAACCTGGTCCATGGAAGGTGTCCCTGCCCATGGCAGGGGGTGGCAGTGGATGGGCTTCAAGGTCCTTTCAACCCAAACCATTCCATGACCCCACAGCCCCACAACCCTGGGCACAGCCCAGCTCCCACAGGCCCCGTGGTCCCTCTGCTTTCTCCCTCACCATCTCCCCTTCCCCACCGATCCCATAAACACCCCACGAGCCCCCCGCACCCTCTGCATCCCCTACGCCCCTTCGACCTCCCGACCGCACCCAACACCCCCCACCCAAACCTCCACCCCCCCGGCCCCACTTTAACCCCTCCCGGCGCCCCGGGAACCGCTCCCCGCTCTCCCCCTCCCTCCCCTCCGCACCCCCCGCCTCAACCCACCCCCTCCACCGCCCCCCCGGCCCTCCCGGTGCAGTGCCCTCGGGGCTGCTCCAGGAGGCCCCCTCACCCTCCTCCCCCGCCCTCAGGCCGCGCTCCCCTCGCCCACCTCTGTCTGGCTCCGCGCTCGCTCGGCAGCGGCTGCCGGCAGCTCATGGCGGCGCGGGGGCTGCGAGGGGGCTGCGGGGGGTCTCTGAGGGCGGGGGGGTCTCTGAGGGGTCTCTGAGGGCTGGGGGGGGGCAGCGCGGCCCGTCCCGGCCCCGCCGCCGCTTCCGCCGCCGCCGCCTCGCCCCCGTGACGTCACACGCGCGCCCGCGCGGGGGCGGGGCCGCGCCTTTGTGACGTCACGGCCGCGCGCCGGTCCCGGGTGCGTGGGGGGGGCGGTGATGGCGGAGCCGGGAGCGGGAACGGAGCGGTGCCCGCACTGCCACAGGGCCTTCAAGCGGCTCCGCGCCCACCTCCCGCACTGCAAGGCCGCCCCGCGGAAAGGACCGGAATCGGGATCGGAAACGAGCCTCCGCACGGGCCCCGGCAGCGCACCGGGATCGACACCGGCACCAGCACCTGGATCGGCATCGGGACCGGGAGAGAGGCTCCGCCCGGCCCCCACCACTGCTCCGGGGTCAGCACCGAGCCCGGGTCCCCGCCCGGCCCCCGCCAGCACTTCGGGATCGGCACCGGGAGCAGGATCGGCACCGGGAGCGAAAAGGAAAACGAGCCCGGCCCCCGCCACCGCTCCGGGGTCAGCACCGAGCCCGGGTCCCCTCCCGACCCCCGGCCCGGTCACCGGCAGCGTCCCCGGGCCGAGCTCAGCCCCGAGCCCCCGCCCGGCCCCCGGTACCGACCCCGAGCCGGGTCTCGGCGCCCCCAGGACCGGCCGGGATGTGGAGCCCGCGGTGCAGGACGTGGCCAGAGCCCTGGATCTGCTCCCCGAGGAGGTGGAAGATGTCCCCCAGAGGCTGGAGAATGGAGTGAAGGTGGTGATCGAGAAGCACCGCGCCAGGGTGGTCAGGGAGAAGAAGCCCAGGAGCGGGGCAGGAGCAGCAGGAGGGACGGATCCCGGCCGTGCTGCCCACCCACAGCGGGGCAAAACCGCTCCAAAATCCACACACAAGGAGACTCAGAGCCTGGGGGCTGTGAGGGGCGTGCCCGGGAGCAAAAAGGGAGGAAAAAGCAGCTTAAAGGCAACAAAAGTACTTGAAGAACCCCCCGAGGGCAGAAATAGCCCCGGTGACCTCGTTCAGCAGGAGAGAACAGACAAATCCATGGCAGGAGAGGAGCAGGTGCACCGGGAAGTTGGTGTGGGATATAAAGCCCCTGTGTCTGATTTGCATCCCAAGAACCTCCATCTGTCAGTGACGGAGGGTTTGGGAGGTCACAGTGAAGGGCCATCCAAGAATGAGCTCAGCAGCCTGGAGAGGCTCAGGGACAGCAGGGAGCAGATGGTTGGAGTGTCCGAGCCCGTCCTGGGCACAGGGAGAGACCCGGGGCTGGCCCTGCACCAGTCCTGGCTCCACTCTCCCAAATTCCAGCCCACCTGTTCATCCCAGGCCTCTGGCAGGAGCACCTGGGCAGGAGCCACAGGCTTGGAGTGGTTTCCAGACTTGTATCCTGAGCATGAGGGGCTGAGGATCTTTCCAGGGAAGCATTTCCAAGAAGATGTGGGGATCACAGTGAAGACACCAAGGGGCAGTTTCTCAGAGGGACACCGAGGTAACCAAAGTCTCTGTGCTGGGATTTGCTGCACTGTCAGGCTGGAATGGGAGAGGAGGGGTAGGGAATGCTGACCTGCTGGGCTTGTCCAGGAAGGGACCCAGGAGAAGCCAAGGAGGTCAGCTGTGCCTCCTCCAGCCTGCAAAACCAACGGTTCATGTTTTTGTGTAGGTTGGAGTCAGGTTCTTGCACGTTTGGGCTGCTGGAGCCCAAACTTTGCGGGACAGACAATTCCCTCTCCGCTTCCAACCCCAAATCCCATGTCAGATCCCAGCTCCCCACACAGCACAGGGAGCACAAACACCCCACACCTTGTCCTGCCTGTGCCCACTGTGACTGTCACCCCCCAGGTCCCCTCTCGGAGAGGCCCCTGATGGAGGTGAGGTTGGGGGAGCTGCACTCCTGGATCAGCACCTGCGACTTCTCTCCCCAGGGACTGCTTGGAGCAGTGCAGAAAGGTGAGAATTCCAGCCTTCTGGGGCAGACTCATCCCACTCCCCTGATTTAGTTGCTGCAGCTTCATCCAAGTGGCCACCCTGAGTCTTTATAAAGCAGCAAATTATGGAATCATTTCGGTTGGAAGGGACCTTAAAGCTCATCCAGTCCCACCCCCTGCCATGGGCAGGGACACCTTCCACTAGCCCAGGTTGCTTCAAGCCCCGTCCAACCTGGCCTTGGACACTTCCAGGGATGGGGCAGCCACAGTTTCTCTGGGCAGCCTGTGCCAGGGCCTCCCCACCCTCCCAGGGAAGGATTCCTTCCCAATATCCCACCTAACCCTGCCCTCTGTGCAAATAAATGAACAGACCCAACATTCTGGCTTTGGAAAATTGCATGGAAACCAGGGAATTCCAAAGACCAGCACATGATTTGTCCCTTTCCTTTGTCTCCCAACAGCCTGGAACAGTTATTATGCCAAATACATCAACGTGAGGAGGGGGGGACACACTGGGGTCTCCATGCTCCTGACTGGGTACTGCCTGCTCAGCTACAGCTGGAACTATCAGCACTTCAGTAAGATTTCCTGCTTGGGGTCTCTCTTATTTCAGGCACTCTCCCTCTTGCAGCAGTTGGGAAGTCTATTTACCCTTCCTGTTAATTAAAGCTCTGGAATAATTTAAATAGTCCACACTTAAGATCAATATCAGAGCTGAGAGAGCAGGGTTCTGAAGGGAAGCAGAGGAATTTAGTCACTAAAAGTGGTGATAACAGTTGCTTACTCACAGCTTCTCCCTGGGGAGCACCAGGAATGGCAGGAGCACTTGGAAACCCTGCACAGAGCAGAGGGAGGAGATGTTCCAACACAGAGCTCCCATTCCCTGGATTTCCTCACAAGTGACAAGGGGTTTGCTGGTGGTGGGGTGGTTTCCCCTTGCTCATGCACAGAGAAGCTATAGTGAGACTCATCAGGAACTGGGCACAGCCCACCTCTGGAGCCCCCAAACATCCCTTTGTGCTGACACTGGAATGTTTCTTTCCCTGTTTTTCCAGAGCGTCACCGCTGGCGTAAATACCACTGAAGGAGCTGGAGCAGCACCCACAGGACGGTCACAGCTCCTTGGGAGGCAGCAGAAGTGCTCACAGCCAGTGTCCCAGCAGATTCCCAGCACAGAGGCCTGTTTGCTGTCAGGACAGGGGCTGGAAGGTGGGGGGCTGCTTGGCAGGGGCCCTCATGCAGCAGAGGGGTGACAGTGACAGCCCGTGGTCACCCCTCTGTGGGTCAGGGAGCTTTCAGTAGAGGAATAAAGAAGCATTAGAGCTACCCCTGAGAGATCCATGTGTGCAGTAGAGCTCTTGGAGTCTGCAGAATCCCAAATCCCTCGCTTTGGCACGGCAGACACAGGACAGGCTCCTGCCCTGAGCTGTTATTAGAGATTAATTGACATTATGCTGTAGCAGTGAGGTTTGTGGCAGGGTGGGCTTCAATCCCAATAACAATTCCCTTTAAATTCCCCCGGCAAAGCCCAGTTTATACTCACCCCTTGTACTGGTGGGACTGGTCAGAACCTTTGTGAAGGCACTAAAGCAGCAGCTCAGACCACAGTGCCCTATTTCTGGAGGAGAAAAATCCATTGTAGGAGTTGTTGTGCCCAAAGGGCAAACCCGTGTCTGCATCAGACAGACAAGGAGACAGGAGTGCTAGTTGGAGCCTGCCATTCCCAAGCATGTCTGGGAAAGGGTTGGTCATGTTACAGGCATGAAAAATAAAGCCAAGAATTAAAAATCTGAGCTCTTTATTCAGCGAGGTGCAGTAGTGCTGTGTCGGAGGTGGTTCACGAGAAATTCTCTCACCAGCAATAAAAACCTTTGTGGATTTTCCTTTCCTGCTTGGTCTGTGATCTCAGACACGGTGCTTTGTGCCCCCTTCCCAGGGGATGAGCACACCCTCACCCTCGTGCCCAGGGCCTGGCACAAGCCAGTCCCTTCAAACCTGGGGGTGCTGCTGCTGCTGGCCTGTCCAGAGCCAGCTGTGGGAAGTCCAATTTTCCTTGCATTAAGTGATTTCTCTGCTGCTTGTGCAAATTGTGAGCTGGTGCTGAGCAAACCCAACTGGCTTTTCTAGTCCAGCAGCTGCCCTGGTGCTGTCTCTCCATCTCCATCGTGTTTTAGGGTGTCCTCCTTCCCTGATCCGTGTGGGACCACTGGAGTCACTTCCCCAGCAGCATTTCCAGCTGAGTCCTCCCACTCTCACCAGTGTAGGGACTGACCTGTCCACTCTGGGGGCACAGGGAGAGGCAGGCATTGGATTTGTGCTGCATCAACCCTCTGCCACATTCCCACATGTTCATTTTCACATCATTTCCCAGGGAGTGGGTTCCTGGAGCCGTGCCATGTTCCAGCACAGCTCCCATCTGGAAACAGCACCCCAAGACCTCCAGCTGCACCAAACCTCTGACCCAGAGGGATTCTCTGTTCTCTGGGGCTCTCCCACTGGTTTATCACCACCCAAGTCCCTCCCCTTGCAGTCAGGTTATTTCAATCCCACTAGATCCCTCCTTCCCAGCTGGTTCCCACCCCAGCTCTCCAGGGACAGACTCCAGAGCCCAAAAAAACCCAGGGAAAATGCATATTTCCAGACAAAGGCTGTTTTGGGCATACTGTGGGAGCCTGTCCCCACGCCACATGCTGTCCCTCACCATCACCCTCCAAGGGGAGAACACTGCTCCCAACCCTCCCATTCCCAAAAACACTCACCTTGGAGCAGGTGCCTTGTTCCAGCAGGTTCTGTGGGTCCGGGGGGCAGCCACTGATGTCCCACAGATGTGCTGCCAGGTGCTGTGTGACTCGTGGAGGTGGCTCTGTGGATGGCATGTCCTCGCCTCCCCTCTCCTCGCCAGCAGCCAGATCCCGCTGTACCAGCCCCCGTGGACAGCCAGTTTCCTGGGGGGAATGGGGCAGGAGGGGCAGTTGACAGCTGCTGTCCCACAAGAGCTGTGGGGCAGCTGGAGCATCACCCCAATGCACAGAGGAAAGGGCTTCACCTTGGAGGGATCCGTGCTGCTCGTCATCAGCCCGGCCTTGAGGCTGGGAATGGACACAGAGGACAGGCAGTTACTCCCTGTGGTACTCCCAGACCCTCCTGTGGCTCCCACAACCTCTCAGGGATGTCTTGGGGCTGGTACAGGCACCCCCATGGGGACCAGGACCGTTCCCTGCCCACCCACTGCAAACCCTGGTTGGACGTAGGGAGAGACCAGAACGGTTCAGGTCCCAAAGCAGCCTCATCCCTGACCCTGCAAAGACCACAGGGCCACCTCTGCCCCCTCAGAGAGGGGACTGTCCCCCCCAGCCGTGTTCCAGGCCCCCCCAGCCTGCCCAGTACGTACTGCACGAACTTGCACTTGGGTCCCTCTGGGCAGAACCCCACCAGGTAGTTGGCACACATCACCCTCCGCGTGTGCTTGTACTTGCACCGGGGACCTGCCACGCAGAGCAGAGGTTTGCAGGGACACGTCACACCGGGATTTTGGGAGCTCAGCTTTCCCAGCAGCCCCGGTGAACTCTTTGCTGCCCCAAGCCCAAACCCCCACCGGGTTCCTGTCCCACTCCCAGCCACGCCGCGAGTCACCTCACTGTGGCTCAGCCACCTCAGAGGGGGGCAGGAGGTTGTGCCAGCAGCGGGGTCCGGCCCCACATCACCGGTGGGCACACGGGCAGCCCCTGCCCACCCTCCCCCGTCCCAGCAGCTCACCGTGCCTGCAGAACCCGCGGTCGTACCAGGGACAGCCCATGGTGCTGGGGGTGGCATCGACGTGCAGGAAGGGACGGTCCTTGTTGCTGCACTCGCCTGCGGGAGACAAGGGGTGGGACAGGTGGGATAAACAAAACAGAGCGGGAATCGCTCAGGGATGGGCTGGATGGGAGGAACTGGGGTGCCCTGAGAGCACCCGGGTTTGGACCGGGGGAACACCCGGGAGGGTGACAGTGGCACTTCTTCCCGCAGTCAGGAGGTGGCATCAGGCACTTGCTCGAGGCCAGCCCGGAGGGACACGAGTGCTGGGAGGGGACAGGCTCCGCGAGGGGCGGGAAGAGGCTTTCCGGGGCGCACAGGCCGGTCCTGCACCTACCAAACTTGGAGTAGAAATAGCACTCGGGCATCCCGGTGGCGTCGTGCTCGTGCAGGAAGTCGCAGCCGTCGCCCCTCTTGCAGAGCCCCCGCAGCCAGTGCCTGCACACCGCGGTCTTGGCCCCGCCGCCACGCCTGGAGGGGCCCTGCACGCCTGGCCATGGCACCCCTGTCACAGCCAGCCTGTCCCCCACGGCCCCCCCGGTCCTCCCTGCACCCAGAAACTCCCAGCACCCCCAGCTCGGGACACACCAGCAGGAGCTTTCCTGGGTGTGGAGGAGGTTTGAAGCACTCACTGGGCACTCGGGGCTCAGTTCACCTGGCACTGCCAAGGTCTGGGTGCCCTGGAGGTGTCTGAGCCCTCCCCAGCACAGGGAGCCACAGGACCCTGTCCCCAACTTACTGTCCACCCCCGGGAAGGGCAGGGGCCGAGCTCCTTGCTGCTGCTCCACATCGGCCTCCAGGTCAAACCTGATCTTCTCCACACCAGCCACCAACTCCTGCATCACCCCCACTACGGCAGGAGCCCCCTCCAGCCTGGCACAGACGGGGAAGGAAGCAGGGAAAGAGGCAGGGAAGCACAGCTCACAGGGCCCAGCAGCGGGGCTGCCCAAGGAAAACACAGCTCTGCCAAGGGAGCACCACGCTCTGAGGGTCCCTGCAGCCACCCTGGGCCCCAGCAGCACTCAGAAACCCTCCTCTTCCTCCTCCTCCCCAGCCAGAGCAAAGCCAATCCAGGCAACTGCCTGGAGCGCTCAATTTAGAGCGGGAAGCTGCCCACATCTGATCCCAATTTGCAGCCCTGATTGCCTGGTGCTGCAGCTGAGGAGCTCAGCCCCCGGCCCCATCCATCCCCCTCACTGCCTCCCTGCTCCCACATCTGCTTTTGCTCCAGAAAAACCAGCTGGGGCTGGCCAGGAGCTGGGTTAACCCCTCACTCCGAGGCCTTAAACGTGGAGCCAAACGTGGCTGGAGTGCTGGAGTTGTGCATTCCCGTAGCATGGGATGGATCCTGTGTGGGTGCTGTTGTGCTCTGGGTGCGTTGAGCACGCTCTGGGTGCACAGCAGCACCAGCCCCACTCTCCAGCACCTGGCAGGACAGACCCCAGGCTCCTGGAGGGGCAGCCAGGTCATTGTGCATCCCGATGAACCATGGAATGGTTTGGGTTGGGAGGGACCTTAAAGCTCCTCTCATTCCACTCCCTGCCATGGGCAGGGACACCTTCCACTAGCTCAGGCTGCTCAGAAGCCCCTCCAGTCCCAGCTGTTGGGCTGGGGGCTTCCACATGTGCCAGGCTCCAGTGGCACATTCCAGGCGTGGCCACGGTGCTTCCCGGAGCCCGCCCGGCACAGCCCACCCAGCCCCTGGATTTACCCTCACGCTCCATCCTCCGTCACGCGGCTCCCGCGGCCCGTGCATCGCCTGGGGCGCCGTGGGCTGACACATCGGGATGGAGCCCTGCTCCCATTCTGTCACTAGGGATAAAGGCACTGGACCAGCGCTGCCGGAGCGCTGCCCGTGGGGCCACAGCCCCGTGCAGGGTGCTGGGCACCCACCCGGCACCCACCCAGCACCCGTGTGGCCACATCCTGGACCCACCCCGGGGGTGTGACGGGATGTCCCAGCCCGTGCCGTGCCCGTGGGTGGTTTTGGGAGGTTGGGGGTGCAGCCTGTGCTCCCCTGCAGCAGGCACTGGCAGGACACTGGGCTGGCAGCAGTGTTGCCGGGGAACAGTGTAATTCCTCACTAGCCCAGGTCCTGTTGGGCTGCCCCTGTCCCTGCTTGCTCGTGCCGTTCCAGGGCCTCCTCCCCGTCCCGTGGAGCGGGGCCGTGTCCCAGGTGTGCTCAGCAGCCCAGCACACACTTTCTGCCCCGTCAGCTCGTGGCACCGCGGCACTGCCGAGCAGGAGCCTGGAGCCGACAGGTGTCACAAAGATCAGGGTGGCCGAGTGACGGTCACAGGCGGCCCGTGAAGGGTCACCCCAGGGCCCCCCCATCCCCACAGCCCCGGGGAGCGAGGGGGTCCTGGCAGAGGGTGCAAAGCCCAGGGAGCCACCCTGCCCTGCTGGTTTGTGTCAGAGCACCCCTCGGGGACAGGAGGAGCCAGGCATCCCCCAGGAGCCTGGCGACCTCCCAGGGGACAGCGACCAGGACCACGGGCTCGGGGGATGGATGAGGGACCCTGGCACAGGACAGGGGGCTGTGCCCTGGTAATGGGGGCAGAGGCAGCCTGGTGAGCTCAGAGCCACCAGCTGCAGCTGCTGTTGTTCTCCCTGTCCCAGACAATGGCCCAATGTCCCCTGCCCAGGGTGTTGTGTCCTGCCAAGAGCACGCACAGGACCCCATTGTGTCCCCACTGTGGAGCAGCACTTGCCCGCTCCCACCGGCTTCACCAGGGGACATCCATTGGGAGGACTGGGGCATCCAGCCCCCCCTAGGGCTGGGAGATGTTGGGGGGGCCAAATCCTTCTCTCTCCATCACTGGTGAGGAGGTCCTGGCTGGTAATCCCAGCAGAGCCACGCTCTCCACCCACTTGGGAAGGGCTCTGGGGCTGGAATGGGAAGGCAGTCCTGGCACAGCCCCATTACACCAGTGGCTGAGCTGTGGGAAGCTGGCTCTGGAATGGGAGTGACCTGCCCTGCTCTCCATGCCAGGATCATCCAGGGCTATGGATACCCCGCAGGGATGGGAGCTCCCAGGGCACCCCCAGCCCTGGCCCCCAGCCCGTGGGAGCAGGGACAGCCAGTCCTGCCCCACCATCGCCCTCCCCTCCTCCCTGGCTGGCAGGGAGGGAGCAGGGCTGGGGGCAGAGCAGTGTTGGCAGAGCTGTCCCTTGGCAGGAGCCATGTGGCCGGAGGGGCCCAGCCCGGAGCCAGATCCGGCCAGCAGGAGCTCTCCCGCTTCCTCCCGCCGTGGGCCGAGAAAGCACGGCCACTGCAGGTGCCCAAACTCCGGCCAGGACAGGATCACAGCCAGGGACGGGCTCGAAGGTGGAGGCAGCAGGACGGGGGATGGGGACAGCGGCAGCACAGGGAACTGGTCCTGCTTGGGGAGCAGGTCCCCACAGATCTCACCCCTCAGGAACTCAGGCCATTGCAGTCACTACCATTTCCTTTTATTCTTTGCATCTGTACATACATGGTATAAAACCTCCTGTTCCAGCTGCCTGCACCAGCCCAGTGTTGGCACTGCCCGGCCCCACCGGCCCCACAGCACCGGGACATCGGGGCTCCCTGGCTCAGGGGGCTTCCAGGTGCTCCTCCCAGGGGGGACAGACCCACGCTTCCATCAGCACCCCAGGAGCAGCCGGTGCCTGGGCTGGCTGGGGGCATCCCTGTGACCCCCAGGCTGGTTGGAGGGTCAAGCATCTGGGATGGATCCATCCATCCATCCATGCATCCGAGCACCTGCCATGGCACAGGGCTGGAGGCTCTTGGTCTGCAGAAAGTCCACAAGAAACCCAAGGAGGTGAAGCTGCCCACAGTCCTGGGCCACCTCTGAGCTCCAGAGCCAAGTTCTTCCTCACGGGAAATCTCCCCTCCGTTAAAACCAAAAGCGAGAGTAAAGAAAGTTAAGTACAAATCAGAAAACAGTAAAAACCGTACGGCAGGAAAAAATATATATTACTACAGGGGCTAGAACTCCAAAGGCTCGTCTTGTTGGATCCTAAATTGCTTTACGTGGGCAGGGGGGCAGGAGAGAAGAGCTAATATCCAAAGTCCAACAGAAAGAACCAAAACTGAGTCTGCCTTCCCCTCCCAGGAAGTGCTGAGAGATGTCAGGAATGCCCCCACAGCCCTGGGAGCAGATTGGCCCTGGGAGCAGATCACTGTCCTGCCATGGCACAGGGAGAGGGAAGGAGGGAGGAGTCACATCTTCCCTGGTGCCACCGTTGCAGCACCGGGGTGTTCAGCCCCATGTCCAAGAACCGCAGTGAGAACCAGACCCTCGGCTCAGCCGCCCTCCTTTATACTCGTATCTCATCATCATCTTCATCAGCAAACGAGAACTCCCTGTCGGGGCGCTTTGGGGGCCCCCCCCGCTGGCTCGGTGGCCTGGGGACAGGGCTGCGCTCCTCGGGCCCCGAGGTGCAGCTGGATGCTGGACTGCTGTCCCTGGGCCCACGGGCCGGGCTCTGGCTCGGCGGGGCCGCCACCGCCACCACCGGGGAGCCGGGCAGGGCGGCCTCCCCCTCCTCCTCGTGGCTCTCCTCCGCCTCGGGGTCTTCGTCCTGCTCCCACTGATCCTTATCCATGATGCTCAGGACGTCCCCGAGCATGGAGGGCCCCAGGTCGATGTGGAAGGACATGATGGACTCTGCGTGCTTCATGCCCGCCCCGCCCTTGGCCACCACCACGGGCAGCTCCGTGATGTCCCCGAAGTCGCGCTCGTCCAAGCTGGGGCTCAGCGGCCCCGCGGCCGCCCCGTTCGGGCGCTGCTGCTCTTCGGGGCTCATCTCCTCGGGCTTCTTGACGGGGCTGGAGGAGAGGCTCTTGGGCAGCTGCCCCGCGCTCCTGTCCACCTCCTTCTCGTTGAGCTGGGGCAGGGACACGGCGTTCTTGACGAAGAGCGCCGAGTCCCGCAGCGAGCCCAGCATGTCCCGCCGGTCACCGCGTGTCACCGACTGCGAGCGCTTGCTGCTGCGGAAGCGGCGGGACAGCAGGCTGGGCTTGGAGGCTCCCGGCTCCTCGCCCGCCTCCGGCACCGGCTCCCCGGCCTTGCTGGTGAGGAAGGAGGTGTCCCCGAAGGCGTCCCCCGCGCGCCCCACGTGCATGGTGTGGCGGAAGTCCCCCAGGGGCGCGCTGATCATCTCGGCCGTCAGGTCGGCCCGCGAGCGGCGCTTGGAGTGGGCAGAGTTGGACACGAGCTGCTTGAGGATCGGCATGGTGGCGGTGAGCGGAGGCTGGGCAGAGCTGCACCGTGTCCCGCCGGCCCCGCCGGTGCTCACAGCTGGGGCTCCACGGCTGGGATCCCACCGGCGTCACAGACGGGTCACTCCTGGGGGAGAGGACAGAGGGACATGGTCAGGCTTTGAGGACATGGACGGGCCTTCACCCTGCCAAGCTGCAAAATGCGACCCCATGCCCACAAGCTGCTTGGTTCCCTCAGGAATAGCCTCCACACGGGGCATTGTTCCACGGGGAACACATCCTCTGACCCCTCCCAAGCTCCCCACACCCCCCGAAGCGGGTCCCAGACCTTATCCACGGAGCAGACATCCACAGGAGAAAGATCTGGGCAAAGGGATCCTTTGGGATGATCCCTGCCCCTGTGCCCCACATGAACGGGCACCAAAAGGGATGCAGGGCACCCCTGTCCCCTCCCCGTGCAGCCCCAGCCCGCCGGAGCGGGGCACGGCAGCTCCAGCCTCCGCCAGTCGCACGCCGAGGAGATGCCTGGGATTTTTTTTTTTTAATTGGAAGAAAGCAGAAAGGAGCAGACGCCAGAAGGAATTGGAAACAGACGGCAGGAAGTGTGTGAAGAGGGCGTAGAGCCCCCGGGAG